AATGGCTGATCGCCGAAGAATTGATGCTTTTGAATTATGGTGCTGGAGAAGACTCTTGAGAGTCCCATGGACTGCAAGAAGATCAAATGTATCCATTCTTAAGGAAATCAGGCCTGAGTGCTCACTGGAAGGACAGATCGTGAAGCTGAGGCTCTAATACTTTGGCCACCTCATGAGAAGAGAAGACTCCCTGGAAAAGACCCTGATGTTGGGAAAGATTGAGGGCACAAGGAGAAGGGGACGACAGAGGACGATGGTTGGTCAGTGTTCTCGAAGCTACCAGCATGAGTTTGACCAAACTGCGGGAGGCAGTGGAAGACAGGAGTGCCTGGCGTGCTCTGGTCCATGGGGTCACGAAGAGTCGGACACGACTAAACAACAACAACAATCATCTAATACACAGTGGGAAGAGGGCTGGAGAGAATAGTTAAGTTAATAGGGTTTTGTGTTAGTGTGCATCTTGTGAATGCTTTCTTAAGGTTCAAATGTGACTTGGCTGTATGCATTGTCATTGTGTGTTGTGGTAGTCTTGATTAAAAACAGTAAAATCAATATGGCTATATGAAGGGAGGGCCTTCATGGTAAATTCTGGTTCTTCATTGTTTTGATACAAAAATAAGTTAAATATAAGAACAAAAGCATCATTTTTATCAGGAGATAGTGGTTAGAATAATGCCCGACTTTTCGTGACCCCTAAGTATGGATAGGTTTGATCTTCTTGCAGTCCATGGGACTCTCAAGCGTCTCCTCCAGCACCATAATTCAACAGCATCATTTCTTCAGCGATCAGCCTTCTTTATGGTCCAGATCTTAATATAAAGCTATCAAAACAAAAGCCTATAGTTTAATGTTCAACTAACCTAATGAAAAATGTAAAAAACATGAAGCATGCTTAAAACTAAATTCACAAACCGCATTGAGTGTTGCAATAGTTTCCTAGCTAGGAATAGTATGTGCAATAAATAATATATGTGGCTGATCTTAAGCAGCAATTAAATTCTGAGATAAAGATCCTTTTTCTGCAGCCATCTGATAAAGCAGGGGTGGGCAAACTTTTCTTTCTTTTGAGGACTGCATTGCCTCATGAGATTTGGCTCCTTGAGTACTAGTATGGTGAGGATTTTTGATACAGCTTTTGGTAGAGCTTATTTAAAAAACCAATAACTATCTTGAGACCGAAGTTTGTGCAGGCCTGTTAGTTTGTGCAGGCTCAGTAAATCTGGGAACCTCCCCCTTTCCACCCAGAAAACCAGAGGTACAAAGTTTGCTACAGAATTAGTATCCCCCCCCCCAGTTAAAATAAATAACTGTTGCTTCCTCATTTTGATTAATTGCTCTGGAATGACTCCAAAATGGGAGGGGGAGGTCAGAATGCTGTGCTTCTGATGGATCTCCTCTTCCCTAAGTGCTTATAATATTTGGAGTAATTTTTATGCTGTTAAGATGCCAAATATTGTTATTGGGTTATGTTGACAAATAGTGTGCTGCAGCACCCATTAAGGCTTCAGCATACCCGAAAGTGGCAAGAATGGCACTATGATAGTGGGAAATCAGCAGCATGAGCTACAGTACATTCCAAAACAGTCAGGAATTCAGAACTCAAGAAGCCTATACAAAGCACATAAGCACCTATCAGAACTTTCTGTTGTTATCTACCATGGCTAAATTTAGACTTGTCTACTGACCTTCAGGGCTCTTTTCAAGAGTGTAAAGGGTTTGGTATTAGGGCTCTTGGACCTTTCTACACCAGAAAATGTGTTCTTTAAAATCCTGTCCACACCCAGTCTCAGCTTCTGGTCTCTCCTTCTTCCAGGTTTGCCCTTTCTGACTCTTTCTTTCTGGAGTCTTGATACCTTCTAAGACCCATCTACCATCTAATTTAGAAAGCAGTCCTTTGACATCAAGGATGACGATACTAATTTGATACTAATACAGGACTTCTTACCTTTTCAGAAAATGTTTTAGCTAATTAGTGTGCTCTCCGGACATGTTAAAAGTCTTCGATTTAAACACTTAGATTGTGTTAAGTTCTGTAGCTTGAGGAATGATCGTTGTTAAGCACAAGAGCAGTTCTTGGTTGAATAGGAGTACCCTGAGAGAGTCTGCCACTTCTGAAATGTAGCTGGAGAAGTCTTTCTGTATACAGCTCTATACAGATACAGAGCAGCAGGAGCCCAGTGTAATGTGATTCCTCTGACCCCAAAAGGCGTAGCAGGAAATAGTGAGCAACAGCAGCATTGCAGAGCATTTGGCAATAGATGGGTATCTGGTGTCGGTTCAGAAAATCTTGGGCAATGTTACCATGGAGAGCAGTGACCATTAGGGATTCTGAAAGCTTCTGGCAAAGTGGCTAAGAATGGGTCCCTCAAAGCACCAAATGGAAAAGTGTGGTTCTAGAACTAATGTTAAGTGGACTAATGTAGAACAATAGGAGTCGAAATAATTGAAAAAGGGTCATAGGAGAAGGTGCACAGTGACAATAGGGTGTGGAATGTTTTAGGCAGAGTTAAAGAAAAGGTGTGTGCTATTTCCTTCTATCTTTTTTAAAAAACAATTTTATTTATTAAGTGGTCATAGCTGTGCAGAAGCGATAAAAAATACTGAAGTGCTGGGTTAGTTTCCCATACTGCCTCCTTGTACTCCTTTTAGGAATATGGACTTGTGGCTTTTTCTGCTGTGATACTAAGGGATAGTGAATATGTAGACATTAAAATTCAAAACATGTTCTTCTTTATATTGGAATAGCCCCAGAGGATATTCTCTCTGCTGAACACCACCAGTCCAAAGTGTGATTCATGCAAACTTTTGTTGTGGTTGAGGTTGGGGTGGTTTCTTATAAACCAGGCTGACTTGATAGTGTTATGGTGGTCAAGTGGGACAGCATGGTTTGAACTGGTGTGTCACTATGTTTGTAGTGAACCCAGGATGCACTCCAACACTCTTGAACTCAACTATTCTTTGAGATTTGGTTCCCATAATTTTGACTGATGGTATGTGCTGATTGTTGACCCTTTTAAGAAGATGTAGCCTAAATAAACCTCTGTGAAAGTCATGTTCATTGGAACTAATGCTGTTGACTGGAAATGCAATTATTTCCTAACCATTTCAGCAGCCAAATGCTTTGTAATTGATATGTCTTGTGGGAGAAACTTTTGCAACTATTATGCAACTTCTAGGTCCTTGTCCTTGCTTGTAATTTGTACTTCATGCATCTGTTTTATTGCCGAAGTTTTGTGTAACTATCTCTGACTTCAGGACCTAGCTATCCAGCATGAACAGTATCTATATTTTTCATATTTTTAAGTTTAAATTTGTATCAGCCCTTCATGCAAAGATCTCAAGGTGGTTCACAGCAGTGTTTGTGCTCTGAGCCCCTGCATCCTTTCTTAAGGCTGTATATATGTGGAAAAAAAACCATATATCCTAAAAAAAAGGGTGGTTCACAGCATAATTTATGGTAGAGTATTTCTGAAAATGCTGAACAAAGAGACTCACCTGAGATTTCTAGTTATTACTAACTCATTTTACAGTGGTACCTCGGGTTAAGAACTTTATTTGTTCTGGAGGTATGTTCTTAACCTGAAACTGTTCTTAACCTTAAGCACCACTTTAGCTAATGGGGCCTCCTGCTGCTGCCGTGCCGCTGGAGCACAATTTCTGTTCTCATGCTGAAGCAAAGTTCTTAACCCGAGGTACTATTTCTGGGTTAGCGGAGTCTGTAACCTGAAGCGTCTGTAACTTGAAGCATCTGTAACCTGAAACGTATGTAACCTGAGGTACCACTGTACTTGAAAATCCCAGATTACCAACAATTAATCTATTCTGTTTTATTTCTAGTTGCTCAGACCATGTATCCTAAAAAGTGAACCTTATATTTTTAAGCTTGCAAATTTTATAAACTAGTTTTTCCTATAATAGGTAAATAACTTCAGAAGAAACAAATGCCAGTAGTGGTCTCTGGCCTTTAAATGGACATGGGTTTCAGGGTGGCATAACCTTGAGCTGTTCAAATCCAGCCTTGGCATTGCAAATGCCCATAAACAAGAAGCTTTTGATACGATTTGGTTCTGGAATTCAGAAACCTAATTGCCAGAAAGAATAAATGCTGATTTGAACTTAATGCTGTAACATTGTTTTACATAATGAGAATGAACTTGTTTCCCCCTGGGATCGCACACTTTCCCTCCAGTGTGGCCACAAAGAGGAGTTTGGACAGTTTTGTTTTTTGTCTTAAATTAACCACAGCTTGCCATAGCATCAAACCCATACAGTGGTACCTCGGGTCACAGACGCTTCAGGTTACAGACGCTTCAGGTTACAGACTCCTCTAACCCAGAAATAGTACCTCGGGTTAAGAACTTTGCTTCAGGATGAGAACAGAAATCGTGTGGCGGTGGCAGGGCGGCAGCAGGAGGCCCCATTAGCTAAAGTGGTACCTCAGGTTAAGAACAGTTTCAGGTTAAGAACGGACCTCCAGAACGAATTAAGTTCTTAACCCGAGGTACCACTGTACAAGCTATGTTTAATCACAATGGCCAGTTGAAAAAGAAGCCAGCTTCAAAGTACAGTTAAGAAACTGATTTCTTTGTTTTCATTAATCATAAATAACCACAGTTTGCCTGGGTTTGGAGGCCATAGCCTCCCATAGACCTTCCAAACAACTTTTTAGGACTGCACTGGAGGAGGCAGGGGGAGTCCAATGGGAGGCAAGGCTTTTTCTTACAGCACTAAACCATGTGGAAGCATTGCATCCAAATGCAACCTAAAGCTAGTGTTAATTTCTATGGGTTTTTGTACTCTTTAGCTGTTTAAAAAACAGCCCTGTGAGTCAAAATTCAAATGTTGGATTTCATTCAGATGGAGTGTTCCTCTCAGAAGCTTCTGTGTAGGAGTAGAGGGAAGTTTCAGCTTGTAGAATGTGGCTCATTTCAAGAGACTTAGAAAAAAATTAAATGGAATGCTTCCGCAACCCTAATGATCTTACTCTGTTTTCTTCACAGATCTTTGATTTCTAGTTGAATTTGCTACCACTTCAATCAAGATGCCACCAGCAATTGGAGGCCCCGTGGGATACACGCCACCAGAAGGAGGGTGGGGCTGGGCCGTAGTTGTTGGTGCCTTTATCTCTATAGGCTTTTCCTATGCATTCCCAAAATCCATCACGGTATTCTTTAAAGAGATAGAAATCATCTTCGACGCATCTAGCAGCAAAGTGTCCTGGATCTCTTCCATTATGCTGGCAGTTATGTATGCAGGAGGTAAGTTTGCAAGCAAAATAAAGCTCCATACCTTTACTGTGTCATATGTGGAGGCTTAATTATAATTGTGACTCCTAATTTAATCTGTTTTAATTAGAGTCAAAAGATTCATTAATAGATTTGTTGTGGGTACCTTATTTCGTTTACACCCACACTGTATATTTAAAGCAGTCTTATACCACCTTTAACTGTTATGGCTTCCTCAAAGAATCATAGAATCATAGAGTTGGAAGAGACCACAAGGGCCATCGAGTCCAACCCCCTGCCAAGCAGGAAACACCATCAGAGCACTCCTGACATATGGTTGTCAAGCCTCTGCTTAAAGACCTCCAAAGAAGGAGACTCCACCACACTCCTTGGCAGCAAATTCCACTGTTGAACAGCTCTTACTGTCAGGAAGTTCTTCCTAATGTTTAGGCGGAATCTTCTTTCTTGTAGTTTGGATCCATTGCTCCGTGTCCGCTTCTCTGGAGCAGCAGAAAACAACCTTTCTCCTTCCTCTATGTGACATCCTTTTATATATTTGAACATGGCTATCATATCACCCCTTAACCTCCTCTTCTCCAGGCTAAACATGCCCAGCTCCCTTAGCCGTTCCTCATAAGGCATCGTTTCCAGGCCTTTGACCACTTTGGTTGCCCTCCTCTGGACACGTTCCAGTTTGTCAGTGTCCTTCTTGAACTGTGGTGCCCAGAACTGGACACAGTACTCCAGGTGAGGTCTGACCAGAGCAGAATACAGTGGCACTATTACTTCCCTTGATCTAGATGCTATACTCCTATTGATGCAGCCCAGAATTGCATTGGCTTTTTTAGCTGCCGCGTCACACTGTTGGCTCATGTCAAGTTTGTGGTCAACCAAGACTCCTAGATCCTTTTCACATGTACTGCTCTCAAGCCAGGTGTCCCCCATCTTGTATTTGTGCCTTTCATTTTTTTTGCCCAAGTGCAATACTTTACATTTCTTCCTGTTAAAGTTCATCTTGTTTGTTTTGGCCCAGTTCTCTAATCTGTCAAGGTCGTTTTGAAGTGTGATCCTGTCCTCTGGGGTGTTAGCCACCCCTCCCAGTTTGGTGTCATCTGCAAATTTGATCAGGATGCCCTTGAGTCCATCATCCAAGTCGTTGATAAAGATGTTGAATAAGACCGGGCCCAAGACAGAACCCTGTGGCACCCCACTAGTCACTCTTCTCCAGGATGAAGAGGAACCATTGATGAGCACCCTTTGGGTTCGGTCAGTCAGCCAGTTACAAATCCACTGAGTGGTAGCATAGTCAAGTCCGCATTTTACCAGTTTCTTTACAAGAATATCATGGGGCACCTTGTCAAATGCCTTGCTGAAATCAAGGTAGGCTACATCCACTGCGTTCCCTTCATCTACCAGGGTTGTAATTCTGTCAAAAAACGAGATCAGGTTAGTCTGACATGACTTATTTTTCAGAAATCCATGCTGACTATTGGTGATCACAGCATTCCTTTTTAGGTGCTCACAGACTGTTTGCTTAATGATCTACTCCAGAATCTTCCCTGGTATTGATGTCAGACTGACTGGGCGGTAATTATTTGGGTTTCAAGAATCCTGGAAACTAATTAACTGTAGGTTAAGGATATATGGCGTTGCTAGGAAATCCCTCACAGAATTATAGTTCTCAGGTCCCTTAAACTACAGTTCCTAGGATTATTATTTTTTGGGGGGAGGGAAAGCAGTGACTGTTAAAATGATATAGGAGCACTTTAAATAAATGGTGTGGATGTGACCCTTCGTCTCCCATGTGGTAGAATGAATTCTTGAAACCCAAAATGGGATGGGGGTGGGGTGGAGAAAACCCAACTCCAAAGCTAACTTTTCATCCTCCTTTACAAGCTGAAAATAAAATATTTCCGGGGTACTATTTCTGACCTGGCAGCCTTTCTGGTGTGCCTCTCTGACATCATTTGGAAGGAGGCTGCTCTAAGTTAGCTAAGTATTATTATTTATTATATTTGTATTTTACCCTTTGTCCAAAAATCATAGGGTGGTTCACAACATAAGAATACAAAATGAGAACACAAAATGCACAATAAAACAACCCCCCCAAAAAACCAATAGCCCCCTCCATACATTTTAAAAAACCATAGAATGCTCAATCAGACAAAGGCGGCCTGGTTATAAAGAAATGCATGGTGCCTAAAGATACTTATGAAGACACCAGGTGAGCTTTCCAGGAGAGAGCATTCGACAACTGTTCTCATGTTGCCACCCTCTGGTACCTCTTGTGGAGGAGGCATCTAAGATGGGCCTTAGATGATAACTGCAGAGTCCGGGTCAGTTCATATGGGAAGAGATGCTCCCTGAGGCACTGTGGTCCTGAACCTTTAAGGCTTTATAGGTCAAAACCAGCACTTTGAGTTGGGCCCAGAAACTAATTGGCAGCCAGTGCAGTCGGGCCAGGATAATTGTAATATACTCAAACTATCTTGCCCTGGTCAGCAGCCTGGCTGCTGAATTCTGTACCAGCTGAATTTTCCGAACCATCTTCAGAGGCAGCGCACATTGCAGTAATCTAACCTAGAGGTTACCAGAGCATAGACAACTGGAGTTAGGTGCTCTCTGTCCAGATAGGGCCACCAGCTGAAGCTAATGAAAGGCATTCCATGCCATCAAGGCCATCTGAGCGTCAAGCGATAGCAAAGGATCCATCAGTACCCACAAGCTACATGCTCACTCCTTCAGAGGGAATGAAACCCCATCAAGAGCAGGCAACCTTCAAGCCATCTGGTCTAGGGGACCATGCTGCTAACAGTGCCTCTGTCTTATTCAGATACAGCTTTAGTTTGTTGGCCCTCAACCTTTACCAAAGCAAGACATTGGTCTACAACATCACCCACAGATGTAAAGGAGAAGTAGAGCTGTGTGACATCAACCAGCAGATTGCTGACAACACACTCCAAAGCTCCAGATAACTCAGTGGTGTCATATAGATTTTAAACACCATAAGGGATAAAATGGAACCCAGAGGAACCCCACATTGAAAGCTCCATGGAGAAAAGAGCACTCCCCAAGCATCACCCTCTGAAAATGACCATTCACACAGGACTAGTACTGCAAAGCAGTGCCACCACCCCCAACTTGGACAGATGCTCCAGAAGAATACCATGGTTAATGGTATTGAAATCCAAGGAGAAGTTGAGGAGAATCAACAGGGACATATTTTCCTTGGGTTTCTCCTGGCAGAGGCCATCATACAGGGCAAGTGCACTGCTTTTCTGAGTTAGCCTGGTTAAGGAAAGACAGTGGATGCTCAGCACTGCAAGTCACAGGAAGATACATTGTAGGAGCAAATAAAGCATTGACTATATGTATATCGGGATGCAGGTGGCGCTGTGGGTTAAACCACAGTGCCTAGGATTTGCCGATCAGAAGGTCGGCGGTTCGAATCCCCGCAATGGGGTGAGCTCCCGTTGCTCAGTCCCTGCTCCTGCCAACCTAGCAGTTGAAAGTCCGTAACTAGAGCAGAACACAACACGAGGTATGACTCTACACTTTCCAAATAGTTAAGTATAAATGTTCATGCTCATCTCTCGTTAGAAGCCATTGATGTTTCTTACTGGCATCTGCACTGTGCAACATGTGTGATACATGGTTAACTATTTTCAGAGTTTTTGACCTGATAAAGCAGGATCTTGACAATGAAGAATGTGAGTGTGTGAAAAAAAATTATATACTTTTATGCAAAAGAAATCTGAACCAGGCCACCATTGCCTTAATGTTAGTGTATAATTTATGTGCTACCATACAAGGTGTATAAACCTTGCACGAAAGCACATGAATTATATACTAACGTTAAGGCAATGGTAGCCTGGTTTGAACTTCACATGCCTAGTTCCAACAAAGTAGGATTTGTTGATTGGGAGTGACCAGTGAGGTCAAGCATTTCCCCCACTTCCTGGTGTGTAAGGTGCACTTAAAACCACAAGTATCCTGCTATGAAGATTGCAAAAACAAACCAAAAACCCTCTGGCTTAAAACCCTCAAGTTGTATTCTATGATGCTGGGCACATGAAGGCAGAAGGAGGAAGTGCTGAAATTAGCTGGCTGGGTCTCTCCCCCCCCCCCCCCGATTCAACAAATCATATTTGATTGGGAAAATGGCATTTGAACCAGAATTACCTGTTCATCAGCATTTCAATGGCTGTGGCTGGAGGTCTTTCATTAGAATGGTCTGTGTATAGAGAAGCTAACAAGATACCTCTGATTTAAATTTTATTTGAACTGAATTATTTCCAGTCTGCTTTCAAGCTACAGGACAAAGATCCCATTCTTTTGTCATAAGCATTTGAAACACAGGATCTGAAAGGCTTGGGGCAATTATGGAGTGCAGTGTCCAGTTTACTTTTTTAAAACAATTCCCCCCCCCTTCTTGTGCAAGGAAGTGGTCCTGGTTAGTGAATAGCACTCTGTATCTTGCCCCCCTCACTCTCGTGTTCTTTCTCAACGCTCATATTCTCAGTATTCCTCTCACTCAGCCATGCCAACTCATTTCTCTGTATCCAACAAAACTCCAGACAGTGCAAACAGAATGTTATGTAAACTGTACCCTTTACTAACTTACAAGACTGAGTTTTGGCTGTCTTGGTGCAGTATGTTGCCAGACCTTGGATATTGTCCTGTAATTGGAGAAGGTAGAGACACCCCCCTCCCAAGCTACTGCTGAATAGGAATCTCAGCCATGGCAATTGTAGCAAAACTGATGCATGCCATGGAAAAAGGGGCCCAGGCTATGCTGAGTCAGGAGATTTTCTCAGGGCAGATAGAAAACAAATATATATATATATATATATCCCATTTGCTACTGATACTTAAGCAAACATCTCTTTAAAAACCCTAAAACCACTGATTAAAATCAACCTATTGGCTACATTTGGATGAGATGCTAAATCAGGGTCAGCAAACTTTTTCAGCAGGGGGCCGGTCCACTGTCCCTCAGACCCTATGGGGGGCTGGACTATATTTTGAAAAAA